TAACGGTATAGAAATCATTTTTAGTACACTTGAGAAAGCAAACATGAAAGTACAACCTGATAAATGCGTATTCCTCAAAAACGAAGTAGAGTTTTTAGGTTTCATAATTTCCGAACATGGTATAAAAACAAATCCCGAAAAAACCAAAGCAATAGAAAATTTCAATATTCCCACAACTGTTAAAGAGCTTAGATCATTGTTAGGATTATCTGGCTACTACAGAAGATTCATTAAAGACTATGCAAAAATTGCAAAACCACTCACAGTCTTACTTAGAGGACAAGAAGGAAGGCTATCAAAAAATAGTTCAGCCAAAGTACACATAAAACTTAATACAGAAGCAATAGAAGCATTCAGGAGAAATTTAATGCAAACCGCAGAAGAACCTATTAATGTCTATAAAAAAACCAAATTTTTTTACAAATCTCCGATACTCATTCTTACGAGTTTAAAATAATATTTCCCACATATCATCGTCATATTATCAAGGCAATAGATTACTCAGAAGAAGAGCTAATTGAAATACGTAAAAAATACCTTAACCCATCCGTTATAAATGCAATCCACACACAGGAAAAAGTATTAGAAAAAATCCAGGAAATTTACCCACTTTATTTCGCCAATTATAGAATTCGATATGCTAGGAAAATAGTCGAAGATATAACAAATGAAAACACACAACAAGAAATAATAATTAATGAACACAGTAGAGCACATAGGAATAGTTTAGAAAACAAGCTACAAATCTTAGAGAAATTTTACTTCCCTCAAATGAGAGCAAAAATAGAGAAAATTGTCAAACAATGTAAAATCTGTAAAGAACACAAATACGATCGTCACCCAAACAAACCCATTTTAAATGAAACACCCATTCCACAATTTCCAGGCCATATAATACATCTAGAGATCAAGTAAAAATATTGAAATCCAGAGCAGTAGAGGATATAAAAGGTCCCTTACGTGAAATAATTTTATCTTTTGGAATCCCTACAATTGCAGTATTCGATAACGAAAAAGCATTTAATTCCAGTGTCATCAAATTTATGTTAGAAAGTAAATTTGGAATATTGGTACACAAGGCACCATCGTACCATAGCACATGTAATGGACAAGTGGAGAGATTTCACTCTACACTATCGGAAATTCTTCGATGCTTACGAGCAGAAAAAACATATGATTCCTTTCTCGAATCAATAGACATGGCAACATATAGATACAATCACTCCATACACTCAACCATAGGAAAGAAACCCGTAGAAGTTTTCTTCGGAAGAACGGTCACAACGAATCCAAAACAAATTGGGAAGGATGGGATCGAAAATATCAATAGACTGAAATCAAAACAAAAACAAGATTTAGAAAACCATAATAAAAGTAGAAATAGTATAAAACAGTACAAAACAGGGGAAGTCATTTATGTCAAACTAAACAAAAGATTAGGTAACAAACTATCACCAAGATATAGGAAAGAAATTGTGTCAGAAAATCAGAATAGCATAGTTATTACTATGTCAGGCAAAACAGTCCATAAGAGACTTATAAAAAGCTAATATAAAGCTATACTCACCTTATTCATTTTTTCAGATTAATTCCCGTCTGTACGGCCGAATATTAGACTTCTCAAACGCGCAACTACTAACAATAGATGCAGGAGAAGCTCGCACCCATGAGGGTTATTTTAAAATAATACACGTTATTGAGATTCTAAAATACGAAGAAATCCTAGCACAGATAGAAGAGGCAATTCATGATAAAGCAATTACCAATCACTATCTTTATCCTATCCTAAATACCGAAGTTACTCAAATAAGAAACTACCTACGCGGACTAAGAATTAACAAAAATAAACAAAAAAGATCGCTTGATTTTATCGGCACAGCATGGAAAAGGATTGCTGGTAGCCCCGATCATGCTGATTGTAATATTTTAGTAGATAAAATGAATAATGCATTAGAAAATAATAATAAGCAAGTAATTATAAATAAATTAACAATTGAAAAAATTAAAGAAATAACTAATGTAACAAATTCTATACTAAAAAATGTAAAAGAAGAAAAAGACGTTATAAACGATCTAACTCTAAAAATTAAATACAAACTTGATATCCTAAAAGAGGAAACTTTAAACATTGCATATGCCATTCATTGGGCTAAAGCAAATATTGTCAATTCTTACATTTTCTCAAGTAGCGAAATAGATATGACAGAAAAAATGTTAAATAAAGAAAATTTTCCTTATAATAACATAGATGAAGCTCTAGAGTTTTCAGAAATAAAAATAGCAACTAATAAAAATTGTTTTATTTATATAATAAGTTTGCCAACTACAAATAAAGAAATTTGTTAAAAAAATTGGAAATAAGGCCTATTAAAAGAGGAAAAATTGTTAATAAATAGAACAAATAGAATATAGTATATATAGAACAAATAGAGTCAGACATATTGCTCCTAAACAATTGTTATGCAGATATTCATATTAACAATAAAACAATTAATGTAAATGGAACCTATGTAATAAGGCATCATAATGTAACAATAGAAATTGATGATCAAAAATTTGTAACTAATGAAATAAGTAATATACATCCACTGCCAGCCATATTACAACCATATTCGAAAAGTAACAAAATGAAAGAATTATTGTCTTTAAAGTTAATACGAGAATTAAGAGTAAATGATACAAAAGTAATTGAAAAATTAAAAAAAGAAAATAATATTAATTTGTCAATAAATATAAGTTTATCTTTAGTCATTCTGTTTATAATAATTATATTAATTATATATCGGACAAGAAGCAAAGTAATTATTAAAAACACAATAAATATTGATGAATCGGTGCGACAGACCATTGGCCTAGAAAATATAAGAAGGCATATTATATCAAACGAGGACGTTTGAATTTAAGCAGGGGAGAGTTAACACATATAAAGTTGGTATAATTAATGCATGTGCAGACAATGGAATGCATAGCAAAATGATCACTAAGCATTTTCCCATCGCATAAGCCTACACTTACACGAGCGTCCACAAAAAGCTGACGCTTTAAATTAATGCACTTGTCCGGTGCAATATTAAAATATTGTTAAAAGTTATAATTCAGTTTTAATAAAGAACTCAAGAAATAAAGATTCACATTCGTGTTTTCTTTTTTTGGTACTGTGGTGTCCACCCAAACGTATTCACGATACGTAAGTGAAACATAAGTAATATACGTAAGCACCAACACATCTGGCATCACTGATGGATACGAGGTGAGACGCCGAAGAAAAAAACACAAAGAAAGAACGTGAATAACTACGTGCGTTGTTGGTCGATTTTTTAGTGTGAGCAGTAAATTTTTGATAAAGTAATTTGTAATTCTTTATTGTTAAATCGCATAATTAAAATTTTAAGTTTGATTTAGTTATTTATAAAATGTTGTGTTATTTAAAAATATAATAAAGTCGTGAAACACGCTTTAACTGAACTTGATGTAATTCAATTAAATTCGGTTGTGAAATTCACATACACACCGCAACACCACGACAGTACTTTGAACAAAAAATACCATAACATATACCAGGGAAAGAAAATCATGTTGCGGGTGCACCTTCTCGAATGAAAATCGAAGAGTGTAATATTAATGTACAAGAAGATATTGCTTCAAATATAGCTACAGTACATTCAGCAAAATATGATAACGGAAATTATACTTCACTGACAGAAAAACCCTTAAATGTGTATAAATACCAAATAAAACTAATAAAAGGCAATCAAAACAAAATTTACTCAAAAAAACTATTTTCAAATTACGTCACTACAATAGTGTATAAAGAACTAACATCAGTAGCTATTAAAGATATTATTAAAACTTATCTACTAAACAACAATGTCACTATCTATATGCCTAATGATGAAGATTTCATACAATTTCAAAACATTTATAGTAAATTAATATGCAATAAAAATAATAGAGTATTATGTAGCGTATATGCATTGAAGATATACTTTGTTATGAACAGCAACATGGAATGTGCTTAGCTAGCATATTTATGTCGCTTATCGCCCAAGCAACAATATCGCTTGCGCAACAAAGTTATGTTATTAGATACATACCCATGCATGCATGCTACTCCATAGAATTGATTTGTTTGTTTTTGCCGCGAATACACGCGTCTCGAGTGCGGTCCGCTAGTTCGGTATATATTTCCTGCAATTGAAGTGTTGTAACAACAAAAAGTTCTTAAATGCGGTGGAATATAATGTACTCACTTGGAGCGATAAAGAGCTGCAGCCGATAAGTGTTATTTTTTAAAAAATTTCATTTTAAATTATTCAACTTTTTGAATTTACATATTTTGTTTTTATTCTTATTGAATTTGTTTGACTTTGTGCGCTTTTTTGTTTTGCAAAATAATTGCACACATATAAAATCAGCTGATAGAGACAGCAATTGAAATTATTAAACAGAAACATTATAAAGTGAATAAGTGTTACAAAACGATCAAATAATTAGATCAATTGTTACACAAAAACCTAAACAATCGTGTAATCTTGTACACTGATTTAGCAATTTAGCAGAATGTTTTAATTTAATTAGCAAATTTTAAATTTATTATAAATTTTAATTTTTACTTGAATTTGGAATTTTGAGCATTTGAAATTTACAGGTATTAAATTATTTTAATTTAATTAATTTAGGATACCCTTTTAATTTAATTAAATCTAATTAAATTAATAGGGTATCGAAAAGGTATGAGTGGGCAAAAAACATCACCTCTGCGGAAACAAAACGCAGTACAAAAAACAATGGAGAAGGAGGTATTAAACATACCTTTATCCCCCAAGCCTGATGAGGATAAGCTGGTACAACTATCTGCGATGATGGAATCACAAAGGCATATTAATAAGGATATGCGGGATCTGCTTGCACAGATAGTTAAGATGTATAAGACGGAACAAGAAAGGGGGCCACAAGTGCCGTTGGTGGCTAAGAGTGTAGCTTCCATTAGCGTGCAAACTCAGGGAGCACTAAAGCGTGCTGCGAAAGAAAAACCGAACGGCCCACCACCCAAAGTCCAAATTAGAGAAATTGGAAGTAAGGAGCAGGAAACGAATTTTCACAAATGGCAGCTAGTGCAAAAGAAAAAAGGGAAAACTGTGCCAAATCTGGACCTCATTAAAGCGCCTAGAGTAAAACCGGAAGCAATTCTCATTAGTAAGACGGCAGACAAGTCTTACGCTGAAATGTTAAAGATCATTAAAACAAAACCAGAGCTACAAGAATTCGGAAAAAACGTGAACAAAATCCGAAAAACTAAAGAGGGGGAAATATTGATTCAGCTTACCAAAGAAGCTGGAAATTTAGCGAAGGACTTCTGCAATGAAATGAAAAACACACTTCAGAATTGTGCTAGTGTAAAATCTTTAACACAGCACACCCTAATAGAATGCAGGGATTTGGACGAGATAACATCCAACGAAGAGGTGCGCGCGGCGATTGCTGATCAATTTCCAGCAATAAATGTAAGTGACATCAACGTCAAGTTTTGGCGTGCCGCAAGGGACAGCACAAGATCAGCAATTATTGACCTTCCTACTAAGGATGCCAGTGTATTGATCGCAGCTGCCTCAGTCAGAGTTGGCTGGGTACGCAGTAGGATCAGAAAGCATATCACACCCATGAGGTGTTTCAAATGTCTTCAATTTGGACACGCTGCTAGACAGTGCAAAAGCGATAATGACAGATCAGGCACATGTATGAGATGTGGACAAGATGGCCACAGGGCAAAAACGTGCTCGGCGCAACCAAAATGCATCCTATGTCCGGAAAACTGCAACGGTGGCAATCTACACTACTCAAGAAGTTCCAAATGTGAATTCTACAGGAAGGCTATAAAGGAGCTTAAGTCCAAAAAATGATTAAATTTCTGCAATTGAACCTAAATCGATGCGAAGCTGCCCAAGACCTTTTATCCCAAACAGCTTTGGAATTAAAGACAGATGTACTCGTAATTAGTGAGTTTTACAAATCAAAAGAAACCTCCAAATGGGTACAAGATACTTCTGCAAAGGCTGCCATTTGGCTAGGACAGGACATAGTGTTTAAACCAAGCGTATAGATACAAAAAGAAGGTCTAGTACTTGTCAGAATCCGGGGTATCTATGTGTGCAGCTGTTACATATCCCCAAATATCTCCCAAGAGAGATTTGAAGAGTTTCTTGATAGGCTATCAGGAACAATCAGAAACAAAACTCCCATCATTGTTGCAGGGGATTTCAATGCTTGGGCAGTCGAATGGGGCAGTAGTAATACAACGCGCCGAGGTAGAGCCCTATTAGAAACGTTTACCTCACTAAACCTAATACAACTGAACAATGGGCATAGCCCAACGTTCGATAATGGTAGAGGCGTTTCCTACATAGATCTCACCTTTGTCAGCCCGTCATTAGTAAGGGGTTCGCAATGGAATGTAACAAACCACTACACCCACAGCGACCATCATGCAATTCTTTTTTCCTTATCGCTAAAAGAGAAGTTTGTTTTGAAAAAATCGCAGAGAAAAGCACAGCAAATAGGCTGGAAAACTAAGTATCTTGACACAGAGATAATGGAATTCATGACCGAAAACATGAGTTTCGGAGTCGGGGATGCTTTTGAAAAATCAAATCACCTTATGAAGGAATTATGCAACGTCTGTGATGCATCAATGCCAAGAAAAGGCAAAGGTAATGGGCGCCCATCAAACTATTGGTGGACGGAAGAAATAGCTTTACTAAGATCTCAGTGCTTTGCCTCCCGTAGGCAATTCCAACGTCACAGATCGGGAGTAGATGCGGAAAGGCTTCTACAAAAATACCGAGAGAACAGATCTAAACTTAAAAAGGCAATTATTAGGAGTAAGAATCAAGCTTTTCAAACTCTGATCAATGATGTAGACCAAAATGTCTGGGGCGATGGCTACAAAATAGTAATGCGTAAATTTAAGAGGTTAAGAGGCTCGGTACCTTCATGTCCTAAAATAATGGCGAATATCGTGAAACATTTGTTCCCAAAAAAGGGAGAACTTAGAATTTTAATACCGATAAACACCGATTTAAATGAGATACCTCCGGTTACAAATTCTGAAGTCATAGCCGCTTCTTCCAGAGTTAAGCCCAATAAATCTCCTGGTTTGGATGGAATCCCCAATACTGTACTGAAGAAGGCAATACAAAAACAAGCTTCTATATTTACGGATGTTTACAACAGCTGCCTACAGGAAGGAATCTTCCCTTCGTGTTGGAAAAAGCAGAGATTTGTGCTTATTCCTAAAGGTAATAAGTCCCCAGAACTGCCATCATCTTATAGACCTTTATGCTTATTAGACACTGCAGGTAAGGTCCTTGAAAGAATTATAAGTTCTAGATTAGAAAAATTCACAGAGGCAAGTCAGGGTCTATCAAATAACCAATTTGTCTTTAGACCTAAACGCTGTACTGTTGATGCTGTACTACATGTATGCAACATTGCAAAGGAAGCTACTAAGGGCGTAAGGTGGCTAGGTGGTACTAAAAAGTACTGCGCGGTAGTGACCTTAGACGTTAAAAATGCTTTCAACACTGCTGAGTGGAGTAGCATCTTAAATGCACTGATGAAAATGAGAGTCCCAGAATATCTTTTGAAAATTATAACATCATATTTTAAAGACAGATTACTCTTATATGATACAGAATCCGGACCCAAAATATATACGATTACGGGAGGGGTCCCCCAGGGATCAGTTCTAGGGCCAATTCTTTGGAATATCATGTACGATGGTATCCTTCGAATTGAAAAGCCGGACGGAGTGCACGTAGTTGGGTATGCAGATGATATTGCAATAGTAGTGGTTGCAAAAACTCTAGACGAAGTGGCTAGGAATTGCAGCGCTACTATTGCAGCAGCTAAATCGTGGCTGCAATACAGCGGATTAGAACTTGCTGAACATAAAACTGAGGTGCTATTAATCACAAGTAGGAAAAAGATTGAACAACTCTCAATTAAAGTGGGAGGAGTAGATATACAATCTAGCCCCCAACTTACATATCTTGGTGTAACCTTAGATAGTAGGTTGAGTTTCAAAACTCACCTAAAACAATCGGGAGATAAAGCATCACGTGTCTGCAACGCATTATCTCGATTAATGCCAAACATAGGAGGTCCCAAGGACACCGCTAGAGTTCTTTTAGCATCAGTCTC